AGGCGGCAGCCTCTCGCGCTAAGGTTAAAAAACTTGGTTTTCACGTGGTGGCGAAGGCATCTGTGCTGTGGCCTCTGCAGGGGAAGCAGACGAGAGCGATAGGTGTAGCAGCGAGGGATGCGAGCAAGAACTTGTGTGGGTAACGCCTGGAGCGGGGATGGATGGCCTTGTGGCGGTGAAAACACAGCGGGGATCTGACTCGCCTCTGGCCTAAGAAATAGGAAAAGAAACTGTAGTGAAATGAGATCCGCGTTCTTAGGCACGGGATGTACCTCACCCATGTCTTGGAATAAAAGCATGCTTTCCAGGTGTTTACATGCAGAGTGCACCAAAACACAGATTCCGAAGCATTTGCTTGTTGTGAGCATATTCTGAAGAATGTTTTAGAGCTCTGCCTTCCCGAGTATCTAAGTATACCAAATTTTGTATGAAATACAATAGTTATGTATTTCTGAATAAAGAGGAGTTAGTAGGGGCTGGAAAGCTGGCTTTTGAAAGTTATAGTAAGCATAATGTCCCGTTTCTGTTTCTAGTTCAGTTGAGGTTTACACATGCAGTGGCTGGAAACTTGAGCAAACTTATACAATGCAGATGTTGGTTTTGCGTAAGGGAAGCAGTTGATAGTGAGCTCTGACTGTAGTAAAATTGTCACAATATACTGCTTATCCTCGTTGTGGTGAATCTCTACTTGAGACTAGAGGGCATCTTGTTGCTTTAGACTCCCAGGTTTTGAGAAAACGGTGCTTGGAATGTTAAAGAAAAAACATCCATTGCTTAGAATTTAATATTAAAGATGACTAGTCTTAGGAAAACAACTCAAATGTAAGCAATTCATTATATAATTAGTTTTCAAAAGTCATTCAAAATCACATGCTCTCCATTACCTTTGAGGTGACTGGCTGGAAAGGTGGGGTGAGAGAAGGAAGGAAAACTAGAAAAAGATGAGAAGAACACCAGATGATGAGTGTGTTCAGCATGTGGAGCTGTTGTAGTTGCGTGAACAGCTAATAGAGACATCTGGCTTCTTGTACTAACTTCTCGTGGAATACTTTAGTTAAAAAATAGGATTTTTAGCCTTTGTTTCACGTGGCTTTTTGATAAACAGAAGAAGTCAGTGACTTCGAAGTCTTGTCCCACAGAAAGAAAAGAGAAGCTAGTGTGAAGGCTTGCCTCTTTGGAAATCTAACCAGAGGGAGGTACTTCTACATGGATTGTAGCTCTTTCTCTTGTTTCTTTTGTTCTCTTCCTTCTCCTTCCTCCCCCCCTTTTTTTCCCCCCCATAATTCAGAGAGATTACATACAGGTAGCTTCTCATGTAACTATAGATTTCTAAATTCTTGTAATTACTATACTATACTAAATAACTATAGTTATTTACTCAACTTATCTTAATTGTCACTACCAGCTTACACAAACCCAGTAAATACAGTTATCAGTAGGTAGCATCATAGTGTTATAAGCAAAGCAGCTAGGCTGAACAAACAGCATGATTGAGATGCTTAACTCTTGTAGGATTTTTGTTTGCTTTTTAAATTAAGACCAATCTTCCCATCCTTGTTCCCTCTCCCATCTTTCAATGCAGAGCTAGGCACAGCTGTCACTAGTAGACACACGTGAGCGTAGTTGAGAGCTGTAAAGCTGAAGAGTTTTGAGCAGATGAAGCAACGAAGGAATTGTCCTGCAGTAAAACTCCGGTGGCAGGGTTCTCTGCATGTGTAAAACTGAAGCGAATTATAAAGAGCGATAGAAAAATAATTTATATTCACAGAACAGAGTTAGAAATGTAAAATCCTGGGTTGCATTCAAAAATGTGAATATCCTGTCTCCCTGAATGTTAATTTTTTGCCAACTTCTGCAGTATCCTTTTTAACAAGTTTATCTAAGGGTTCACAACCTTTCTTATTTGAAATTTTACAACTGTAGTTCTTTAAAGTACTTTCCCCAACATTCACTACCTAAATTAAATGGACTGTTTGGCCTCAGCCCTTGATAAACACTTTCAAAGTTATTCCTGACCAGTCTTCCCCCCTGCCCTTTCCCCACCAAATTTTCAACAGCTGCCCTCCCTATTCTTCTTTAGACTGCTTTTTCCATTCTGCTGTTTTTCCTTCCTTCTGCTTTCTGCCTTTTTTACCCCTTTTTTTTCCCTTCCAGTTTAGTTTTACTCCCCATCTACAGCTCTAAGGTACTTCAGGCTGGGTACAAGTGTTGGGTAACATGGCGCGCCAGCACTGCCATCAGCAGCTTTGCTCCTGTGTGCCGCGACTGAAGCCTTGAATGCCAGTGGTGCAGTATCACAGCTTCAAGTGAATATTGCTACCTGTACTCTGAAAAACCTGATGAATCCCAATCTAATACTATGTGCAAGCACGATAAAGACTTGTGCTATTTAGAAGTATTACAGTATCTGTGGAATGAACATTATTATAATTAAAACATAACTGTGCTTTCAATAGATCTCCAAAACCAACAAACTAATGGTAAGAATCGTGAGATCTCTTGTTATTTCCACAGGTGTCCTGGTTTTGGCTGGGATAGAGTTGATTTTCTTCCTAGTAGCTGGTACAGTGCTGTGTTTTGGATTTAGGATGAGAATAATGGTGATAACACAGGGACGTTTTAGTTACTGCTGAGCAGTGCTGACACAGAGTTGAGGCCTTTTCTGCTTCTCACCCCACCAGCGAGCAGGCTGGGGGGGCACGAGAAGTTGGGAGGGGGCACAGCCAGGACAGCTGACCCCAACTGACCAAAGGGACATTCCACACCATATG